GTTTTTATTTTACTGGTGTTGAGCAGAAGTCTTTAAGTTAGTAAACTGTACTACTTCATCAAATCTAAGGTAAACTTGTGTTTCAGTAGCAAGATTTAAATTTAGATGATAAACTTGCTCTTAAAAGAACCATGTACTCTTTCCAAATTTACAAACACAAAGTTAAAAGGTTTTACTTTGGGAAGAAAGTCTGCAGGGATTCGAACACTTGCAATTTAAAAACTTTGAGGGGAGTCCACAGAGGACAGTCTATCATAAATTATAAAAATAAAAGAGATGTTCAAGATAGACCTGTACTTGGCAAATCTGTTTACTTATAAGTTTCTTTTTGTATAGTTCTCTATTGGAAATTGTATTCTGATCTTAGGTTCAGTTTAACAAACATCTTGTGAAAGCTCTTGGTGAGCCAGGCATTGAGGTAGGCATTAGAGATATGAAATGGTCAAAATGTGATCATTGATTTCCCAAACAGATAAGCACAACACAGGTAAATACAGTGTAAGGAATCCAGGTCAGGGTGCAGTGCGAGTCCCATACAAGGAAACTTCACTCAGAATGTGGAAGTGGGGAGAGGAGAGATGGAAGTGGGGATGGTTACTTGGAAGAGCTTCCTATGAGTTTAAACAAACTAAATCTTCATTCCATTAAAAACAAATGTAGGACAAAGATTATTTAAAGCAAATATTACAATTTTAAAAAAGATTTCCATCTTCTGATCTGATGAATGAAACAAATGATAGATATTTCTGAAGTTAAAGCAGGTATTTGATTCTTACTCAGATCTTCAAATTCTACAAAATAAAATCCTTGAGACTTGCTGAGACTTATGCCAAAGTATATTTTCAAACTCAGATTAAATTTACCAAGTTCATAACTTCCAGGAAAGTGATAGATTGAATGCTTAACATATAACACTAATAGAAATACAGCAGAAGTCAGACAGTCTCCCTGTCCTTTTAGAAGTAATTCTGTAGGATTTCATCCAAGCTGTAGATCAGATGAGTTTTCATTTGCATATGCTTTCTGTGCAGTCAGTGCAGTTGGCTTATGCACAAACTATCCCAGTTTCCACTTCCTTCCAGCTGATTTGGCTATAACTCTGGATGTCAGTGAAAGTTACATGATGACTTCTCTTGCTGGCCACTTGAATTGCCAGGGTATTTCCAATTAGTTTTACCTCTGAGATTGTCTTCACAGCCCATTTTATAAAAATATAACTATTTTGTGTGGGGAGGTGGGGCTTGTAGATGCTAGGCAAGCACTGTACCACTGAGCTATATCCCCAGCTCACAAAAATGGTTTTTAGAAGTTCTTGAGTTCTCTTGTCCCTAACTGGTAATGCACTGAGAGGAAATGATATCAGAGGTTTCTAACAGAGATTCTATTAAGATGAGCATCAATTCCCAGAACCTCCATGGTAAAATATATTTTTGATAACCACTTAGTTAAATCCCTTCATTTTATCACTGAGGAAATAAGGCCCAATAAAGCCAAATATCCAATAGCAAGATACTGTGGTGTCAGGATAGAGGGCCTTAGCTTCCATCTTCCCAATTTGGGGTCCCTTATAACTTAAATTTTAAAATAGATACAGATCTCTTGGGAATTTTGATAAAATGAAGGATCCTACCTGGTAATTCTGGATTTTGACCTGAGTTTCTACATTTCTAATAACAAGTTACTAGGAGATGCTAATGCTATTTATTCATGGACTACACTTTGAATAATCATAGGGCTTTCTAACACTAGGAAATAATTTTTAAAAATTTATCCTCTAAGTGAAGATAAACATGAGCAAAAGGATTGTTCTGTTTCACATATAGCTGATAATTAAAAAAATAATTTTGATACCTCAAGTTGCTCTAGTGTTATTATATCAAATAATCTGTATGATCTTATACTGGGGTCAACTGCCTGCCCATGATGCTTATTTCCTAGCAAACATGTTATACATTCATAACAATCAGAGAATTGATGGGTAAGATTTTTGACCCCATTTATGTAGTGCCATATGTTCTCTAATCATATAAGATGCCTAAGTGACGATTTCCTAGTAAATGTATTCCTTCTGTTAAAGAACTTATGATTCCTTGGCTATTTGTTCATTTCATGATCCTTTAATAAGGATCTTTCTTTTCCTTTCCTTCTTTTTTCCTTTCTCTTTCTCTTTTCTTTTTTCTTTTCTTCCTGGGGATTGAGCTTAGGAACTTATACGTGCTAGGCAAACACTCTAACATTGAGCTACACCCAGACCCCTGATTTATTTATTTTTTTCTTTTTTTGGTGACAGAGTATCACTAAATTGCCAAGTGTAACCTTGAACATGGGATCTTCCTGCCTCAGACTCCTTTGTAGCTGGAATTACAGGCATGTGCCACTACATCCAGCTAAATAAGGATATTTCTCGCCCCACATGAATATAACCTCTCTCTCTCTTCCTATCTCTATCTTGGTCTTTCTGTCTCTCTCACACATGCTTAGACACAGAGTATTCATATATTTAACACCATGTTCTTTATAGAAAACAAGTAGATTATTGTGTGCTCATTATGAGAATTTAAATTTTTATGAAGAATGAAATCAGGTAAGATGAAATGGTTATTAGAGATTATATCCTTAATTATGGAATTGCCTACTGAGGTATAGAGTATGTCTATATGGATTTATAATCTTGGTTCACAAACAAAACAACCCTATTTTCTTTAGAAATTATTTGTCAAATAAGTTATATGGAAAATTTTCCATGTATTTTTCTTATTTATCTGTGTAGACATTCTTATTAAAGCTTGGAAGATGACATCTTTATGAGAAATAACCCTACCTCACAGGTGTTAGTTCTTATTCAAATAGTTCTCTAAGTAGCTCCTTCTCTATTTTCTGCAGCAAAATTATTCTAAGTGAGAATAATCAGTTCACTTATATATAAGTGTTTGAAAGAGTTCAAAGGGGTTCTACCATTATAAAATGTTTGTTGTTTACTCTTACGGGTATTATTGTTAGTTTTCATAATTATACTACACAAGTTCTCATGGGGCAAAAAATCTGGCACTGCTACTCGATATTTACATGTACCAAATTATGTAGTAACTTTCTTAGTATTGAGTTTGGCTTGACAGGAAAGTAAATTACGCCTGTATTAGTAAAACTAAATAGTTTTATTCATCTCTCTTTGAGGCCAAGATAATAGTGTTCATTCTCATTTACTCTGGAAAAGAAGAGAGTGTATTAAAAAAATCACTAGGTATGTGCTTTCAGAGCTAAATTATATTAGGTGCTTTGCATGATGGTTATGATGAATGATTAAAAATTATAACTATGGGTGTTGAACATTTAAATAAAGATTGTTTCCACCAGTAAGTATATTTAAGTATATTTGCTTCATAGAATCCTTCATTCAGCTTTTTTACTAGAGCATGATATTGGGTAAAGTGCATACAATTTAAAATCCTTTGGATACTAAAATAATAGTCATAAACAGAATAAATAAAAGGACTCTCATATCTAAATCTAGCCCCACTGCATGGCCTTAAGAACAGTTTAATATCAAGAGCCTAGAAATTTGATAGGTAAATGTATTAGTGGAATAAAATATAAATTTTATATAATTTCAAAATAGTTTTACCTTAAATGCAAGAAGGATATCTATTAAATACTTTTGTAGAAAAAAAACTTCTAAATTTTAAGGTATATTCATTTGGAACAATTAAGTGAAGTTTATAGTAATAAAAATCTCCTACTATGTGTCTTGTAACAATAAAAATGAGATTAATTTGTAATATTTTCTAAAAACCGTGATTACTGACAAGTTTTTCTTATCAGGAATCAAGTTAGATTATAAAAATTGTTCAACACCTATTGTGTAACCATTTATCTTACAATTTAGAAAATAGCTATAAAATAATGGGAAAACTGGGTGTGCACAGCATCAAAAGCTCAAGATCCCTTGATAAGAAAAAACATGGGCAGAGCCATGAAGGAAGCAGTTACCAAAGCCAGTGCTTTAACATGGAAAGAAATCAGTGCTCACAGTCAGAAGGAAAAAGAGACATGTCCCTCCTTGCCACCCTGTTCAGCTTAAACTAGTTTAATTTCACTTGAGTTAAATTTCAGTTAATTGATCTTTGGAAGAATGCAGCAAACCACCAAAATTGGTGACCCACAGTTTTCATGAGGTGTGGTCTTCTCAATGTTGTGCTGTTTCTTTTCTTTATGTTGTTCAGTACCAGGTTGTTTTTAGGAGTCTCCATATTCCATAGGAGGAAAAATTGCCAGTCTGAAAGTTCAGTGTCTTTAGCGTTCTATTGCTTATCACATTTTTGCCCTCTAGGTGCCAACCTGGATTCACTGGAGCAAGATGTACTGAGAATGTGCCCATGAAAGTCCAAAACCAAGAAAGTATGTTAAAATAATCTGAAATTTGTTTTCTCCCCCAAACTACAGCAACAATCACTACCACTTGGTGCTTTTACAGCTCAGTTGTAACTGATTCCTTTTGTTCTCATTATGGTTTGTCCACTCAAGGCATAAAACCCACTCACTATGATATTTAGCTCTCTCTCTCCACATAAGTCCCAAAGTCATAAATGTAAAACAGTGGTCAGTTGGGATGGTCTGTGATGTTGGCAATCGATGACAGCAAGCCAATGAAAAAAAATATACTTCCTCCCAACATCTTTGTCCAAAGCTATCAAATAAAAAAACTGAGATGAATCAAACATTAGATTTTAATTTTAAGTGGCTCCCTTTGAAAGAAAGAAGTCACTTAAAATACTGGGATCTTTTCGTCATACGAACTTGAGAACTACGTTTTGTTCAAAATTTTAACCATTTAGGGGAAATGCCGGAGTCTGAAAGCCATGATTAGGACGAAGATTCAGTTCCTGAGGGTGAACTCACCAAGTTCAGTCAAAAGACACAGAAGGAGCTTCTTTCTAGCATATATTCACCTCTTCTCTTTTTCTCTGTTTTTTTCTACCATTGTTTTTTGTTTCTTCTCTCAGGTGCCCAAATGAGTTTACTGGTGATCGCTGCCAAAACTACGTAATGGCCAGCTTCTACAGTACGTCCACTCCCTTTCTGTCTCTGCCTGAATAGGAGCATGCTCAGTCGGTGCTGCTTTCTTGTTGCTGCATCTCCCCTCAGATTTCACCTAGAGCTAGATGCGTTTTACCAGGTCTAATATTGACTGCCTCTGCCTGTCGCATGAGAACATTAACAAAAGCGATTGTATTACTTCCTCTGTTCGTGACTAGTTGGCTCTGAGATACTAATAGGTGTGTGAGGCTCCGGATGTTTCTGAAATTGATATTGCATAATGTGATACAAATTGATAGTCAATATCAAGCAGTGAAATTATAATAAAGGCATTTAAAAGTCTCACTTTTATTGATAAAATAAAATCATTGCACTGAACAGTCCATATTCTGTATACCATGTCAACATCCTGAAAAGGCTGTTGCTAAGCTGTAACCAATATGCACTCAAAATGATGGTAAGTTAATTTTGGTTCTGAGTGTGTTATTTATACCAAATAAACATCATCAAAAGAGTTCAGATGTTTTTCTTCATTAACCAAACAGTTTGCATGTAGGCATTAAAAAAGAACAGCACTGAGTAGGAAAATTAAAAGCAAACATTTCAACACGAATGAAATATTCTGCCTTCTATTTATGTTGCTTAGGGAACAAGTAATTCAGAACTAGTTTAAAGAACCATTTTGTGTTAGCATTTCTTTATATTAGCATGTCTTCATGTTAGTTTCAAAGGTAAATTGAGGAAGAAATAGTTATTATTTTTTAAATGTGTTACTTTGAAATATAACGGTTTAACTCTATATAAATATGTGTATATATATATATATATATATATATATATATATTTAATGCAGAACAGGAAAATCACAATGCGTTTTTATGACTTCATGATGTTTGGAAAATTATTCCTAAAATACCCAATTCACATTGTGTATAATTGCACGTATAATTAACTTATGTATTTGTCCTTTTGTTGTGAACTGGGATTATAGCTTTAAGTAATGTAACTTTCAAAACAATGTATTTGACATAGATCCATTTTTGGTTATTCATTTAGGTTGAGGGTTGGTATTTTTTCTGTATTGTCCAAATATTTTAGGGTTTGTGGTAATATTATCATTATCACAGCTTCAGAACTCTACCACTGTAGCATGAAACCAGCCACAAAAAAATGCATGGACTTACGTGCATGGCTGTGTTCCATTAAAACTTTATTTACAGAAGCAGGCAGTGGGCTGGAATTGGTAACCCCTGTTTTGCCACTTCCTGTAAATTGCTCACCCTGAAAAATATGTCATAGTTTATTGCAGTTTAAATTCAAATAACATAAGAAACAAGCTGGTCACTTGAGGACCTTAAAATAATCAAATTTGTCCTTGTTTTTGATGCACACAATGAATAAGGATTTTTTAACAGTTATAAAAGTTATCAGAATGAATTTTAGAAGCCCTTATGAGGAGATAACACCCATAATTATCATTTATTTAGTGAAATAATACTTAACATATTACATAGGCTATATATCAGAGGTTGCCATAGGCTGTCTATTATTAAATGAATGGCAAATTGGCATTGCTCATTTTTTCAAACATAGTCTTTGTTGTATTCACAAATATTTAAATATGTTGGGCAGGAATTTTCTCTCCTTATCTCTGGATGATTTTTTTTTAAGGTAGATAGTATGGAAGCTAAAAATATAATGGGAAAAAAAACAAATTTATTGAATATCTGACCCATTTTTTTTAGAAATTTGTGTGTTTCTATTTAAATAGCATAGATTTAGCAAAGCCATGTGATTATACAAATACAATAAAATCAAATTTTAGAAATTAATGACAATTCAGAACATTTAAGTTATTTCTTAAAATTTTGGTGTTTCATTGTGCATTGAAGACAATGTTGGATCACCATATAAAGAAAGTATTAAACATGAAGATATTTCCCAGAACAATAATGCACTTAGATCTGATATAGATAACCAAACAAAATGTTTTCATTCATTTTTGGGCCATTTTCACTTTCACAGACACAATTTTAAAATAGCCACTCTCTATTTGTGAACTCCAAAGTGTGACTCCTTAAATAAATTCTTTAGTAAGCTCTCAATGACATTTTTGGAAGACATCCAGGAAATTAGCATTTATATTTAACCTGATTTAACAAAGATTGATAGGAAGCACATTTATGAACAAAACATGTAATGACTGCATTATTGATGCCTCATGTCTGGAAAAGCAAGAGCTTCCAATCAGACATTGCTTTCCAGAATTGTCTTGCCCAGAGTTCATTCTCTAATTCTTTATGCCTGAAATTTTCATTTTTTTTCTCTCTGCAAATTCCTACATAGAGACAGCAAAATAAATTTTTGCTGCTCTAAGAATTTCATGTTCAAATAGCAGTGAAGGCTAAGAAAAGGCTAGAATGTGTTTCTAGCAAGGTCACTTAATTGTTTGTTTGCTTGTGAACATAATGTCTGGAGGGAATTACATGGATTTGAAGTAAAAGGTAGTCCCTAGCCTCAAAGAGAAATAATTAAAACCTACCCAACCACATTTGTAGTTGAAAATAGCATTCAAAAGAATTACAATATTTTGAATGTTTATGGACATATAATTTACACATTATTAGGATTTGATAAAGTAATTCTGGCCAGTATATCTCATGGGCCATTTTTTAATTTATAAAAATGTATTTAAAATGAAAGAAAGGAACAAATGTATATTTTATATGACAGTCATTTTTCTCAAAATATAACGTATTTATAGCCCTTCCTAAGGAAATATTGTCAAGTTTGGTCAGTTTTAAATTTGACCTATCTTGACACAATCCCAAGTAATATGATTGTGTTCACCAATATGTGGCATGGGGTGTGTGTGTGTGTGTGTGTGTGTACATGTAATTCATAATCAATATGTAGACTTCATGAAGAAAAAAAAGAAAAAGCATTCACAACTTCAGAAGATAATGGTAGTAAAGAGCAAATATGTCCTTAGAAGCTAACAAATAATAAGAACTAGTTATGAGAATAGCTCAAACTGCAGGATATTTTAAAAGAATGCAATTTTAGAACATTTAGGCACATTGTCAAAATGATTAAATTTATCCCATTTCCTTAAAAGTAGCTGTGAATCATATGTTATTATTGTATTAGTTATTTCACAGATTTCTAAATGCTTTCAAAACCTGTTGTAATAATGTATTTATCAAATGGTATCCTGATAACAGTAGAACAAAGACACTCCATCTATGACAAAATTCATAAGTTCCAACTGAGTGTGAGATTTTACTCTGTGTGTGTGTGTGTGTGTGTGTGTGTGTGTGTGTTCATGTGCATGTGGATCCTGGGAATAAGGAGAAAGTCTGCTATTACATTTCAAAGGGCTCAATGACAATATGGATTGGCATATGTGAAAATAAAAGTATCTACATTTACAAAGGTAAGTCTAAAATTAAAGTCAGACACTAAATTGGTCCAGTTTGGAATTGGCATTCAGAGAATTCCTTTAGAAGTTTTATAGGTACAAGAAATCAGAACTACACAGTCTTCGACATTATTTGCATAAACAGTTCCAAGATGTTACAGAACAAATACTGGAATGTCTCAGAATTTTAACAGAAGCCATAATTGCAATGGATATATAATTTTGGTGAAAGAAAGTTGTTTTATTGTTCTTTCCACTAATGCAGTTGAAAATTTAAATTAACCTCCAGGTTAATCAGTTTTCTAAAAGTAATTATAAAATCCTAAGGCAAAGGATTAGTGAGTCAATACTTAATAGTTTCTGAAGACTCTTAGATTTAAATTAATTTTTTATATCACTGAGGGCACAGCAGGAAATCACATGTAGAAAAGGAAACTAAATTGTTTACAGTAACCTTTGTGTTTTTGAATTATTAATTTAATTTGAAAAATGTAGTGGCTAGGCAGCAATTCAATAGGAAGCATGTGATACATAATGAGACTAAGCCAACATTAGATTAAATAGAACAGATAGAAATAACCTCTTCACAAAATGAAAAGTGTTTGCATATTCTGCTTTTTTGAATTATGATGAAAGAAATGTAACCACCAACAGTAGAAATAAATTAGAGCAGTTTTTGCTCCGGGTCTAGAATGACCAATGCATGTTTCCTATGCTTGTTTCCTTGTTAAGGCTTATGGCCAGAAGATTCCAGTTTTAAATACCAATTTCCCATTGAATTATTTGAAATTGGACCTGCCTGATATGAATGACTTCCCTTGAAATGAAATTATAGTTAGGCTCACAGACTTACCTATAAAACTGTAAATGCAGCAATATGTATGCATGGGCATGCTACTAATTTTATTGAAAACTTAACTAAGCTTTCTATGCAACTAATATAGATCATTAGCAGTGTTCACGTAGGCATGGAAAAATGAATCTTTGGAATGAGTTACTCCAGATATGTCTTGGTTTTAACCCTTAAAATATTACTGACTGGTAGAAGTGAAAAGCAAGAGATGGAGGGGCACATAAAAGGGAAATTGGGTCACATTCTTGAAAATTTATTATTGATTTCCTTGAGAAATGAATTTTTTTCACATCAATGTGCCAAAGTTTACATGAAGAAAGCAAATGGGGAAAAAATGTCAATTTGACAAACTGAACATTGTTCAGAGGCAAAAGAAATTTGTTTGGATTTGAATAATTTATTCTACTATGAATATCTCATGTAACCAAATTAACTCTATATTCCCTAGCTTTTAATTAGTGAAAAATTCAGATTATTGTCTGAGTACATTGGACCCAAGGCAGAAGAAAATAATACATAGTGCCTCCTATTATCAAATACATAGTACATATGTATTTTTAATTTGGGAAGTTTTATTTCCTTAAGATGCTGCAAGTTTTAAAGTTTATCTTTTAGATATATCCCAAGGGCTTTCAGAATTTTCCAGGGCACAAAAGTTGTGAAAAGTCAACCTGAGTGCCTTAAGTGCCCCAAGGTATAGCTGTAGATGTGTCTGTTTCCTCCTTCTGCTGGGCAACATTTTTTCATATCTCCTTTATTCCACAGGGTTGCCCAGTGAGGAAAGTGTATCACATGAATTAGGTCAATGAGAATTTTACATTTCCAAAGTCATTCCATCATTAAATGGCAGAGGCAGGACTTGAAACCAGGATGACTCCAGCGCGTACATTGCACTCTTCCCATCTCTGCAGGAGGAGCTTTCTCCATGCCCAAACTGAGTAACACCCCTCCATACCTTTTTTCAAACTTAAGAGATGGCTCATTTTGTTAAGGTCTCATTCTGGCATCTCTCAAATCTGTGATCAAGGGAAGAAAATATAGACCTTATTTTATGCCATGCAGACATAAGTAAGAGAAATCCTCAAATTTCCACCCAATGAAACCAGACTATCAATTTTTGTTATAAGAATGAAAAGTGCCCTTCCTGGAGTTGTTGGGTTTTTTTTTTTTTTTTCCTTTTTTTTTTTTTTCTTTCTTTGCCTCTTTCTCCCATTTCCTTATTTGAGCCTATGCAGGTTCTGCTTTTCTGAAATCCAAGAGTGTCTAGAGCTGCCAGGATTGCTGTTTGTGGGCTCACACTTTTGAGTCTCTTTCCCTGCAGATCCTCTTGGTACCTGTGACCACCAGAGCCCAGCACTGTGGAGACATGATCTAATTGGCTCTAATTTTTACTTGAAAGAGTATGAAATTAAAATCAAAGGGTCCTAGAAACTATATCTCCCCTCCACACATACTATAAAAAATACATTTTTAAAAAAAAAATTTGCAATCTGAAAAACTGGTACATAGAGTTGTCCAATACCACACAGAAATTATGAGAAAAAAATGCAAGCAATCTCCAGTTTCTCACGTGCCTATCTCAGATTTTTTTAGGTAGAAGCATTTGTTGTTTTATTTGAATGAAACATGTTATGAAGTACTGAAGGAAGCGGAAGGAGAAACAGATTAGAAATAAAAATAAAAAATAATAAATACTGAAATGTAACTACACACAAGCAATGAAAAACATAAATCCAATGTGATAAAAATTTCAGACCAAATTACTCTCCTTTGGCTTCTACTCCTGACTCTGCCACTATGTGTCTTTCAGTAAATATAAAAATAAAAATAATAATTTACTTCCTTGGGACATTATTAAAATGAAAATGAAATAATACCAAGTGCTTTTTTGATGATTAAAAATAAAATAACATTGCTATTTTCAAGCAATGAGGAAAGTAGAGGATAGTTCAGCTATGAAAATTCTCCCTCAGTAAAGTCTTTTAAGGGTTAATAAAGAGAATGTTCTGGTATTTGCACATTATCTAAAATACAGAAGTTCCTGTGTGGACTCAGAGTGGCATACCTGAGCACTGCTTTGTTAACCACCCATTTGTCCTGTTCAATGTGCACGCACAGAGAGCTATAATAGTCATGTGTAATGTGTTTTGGAGTGCAGTGTATTGCTCTTTCTGAAACTTTTTCCCTTTCTTTCTTTTTTTGTCAACTTTCTGCATTGGCAGAGCATCTTGGGATTGAATTTATGGGTATGGACCAATCATCATTCCTTTTAGCCTGCAGAATTTTAGAGCCTATGAGCTGAAATCTTTTTCCCTTCCTACTCTTACTTTTCAGTTCCTAACTAATTTCCTTTTTCTTTAGAAGGGATCATACAGCTATAACAATGATTTCTCTGCTGTCAATCTATGATTAGTTTATTGAAATGTTACTGAATGCAGCAGTTTTTAAAGTCTCAAGCTACTTTCCTTCAGTAATAGTTTAAAATCACCTGCCCCTGCTGCTACATTCATGTACATCCCACATTGTGTGACAGACCCACTGATTGGATTTGGCTATCCTTTAAAAAAAAAAAAAAAAACTGGGGTAAGTTAGAGTGGTGCACAAGGGTAGAGGAGAAGTCAAACTAGGGGCATGAGAACAAAGGAAGCTTTAAATGTACCTGCTTAAAAAACACAGTACCTCTTAACTGATGGGCACTTAAGATACAATACAAAACCACCTATTTAATATAGTAAGAAAAAGCCCTTACAGTGCAACACAGTATTACGTGCACAGACTTGAATCACTCAAGTTTTCTGGAGATGTTCAAGTTTGACTCTAGTCAACTTCATTATCTAATGAGCAAGGAAATAGAAAACAGAAAGAAAGAAGCCTTGTGCTATTTTAGGTGGAAATTCCAGTGCTAATGGAATTAAATTTGAGTCACTAAGATGATCCAGACAAGTAATCAAATAGAAAATTTCACACTGTGAATATAAAAAATTTCTCTTATGAGCAGATGAGACTTGGGCATACTCCCGAAGGCCTTCATACTAAATAGTGGGGCGAAAAAGCCAGTTCTGCAAGGAACAGGAAGCTGTGCTCCTTTGCCTGGTCTTCACAGTGCCAGGCCAGGCTGTCTCACTGGAATGCTGCGTGCAGCTCTGGAACAGGGTCTGGGCTCAACAGCATAATGTCCTGCTTAACAGGACAGTATCTAATTCCTATGAAGCTGATTTCAGTGACATCATGCAGCAGGGGTGCCCTACAGCCTTTTTGGATGTCAACAACTGTCTACCCCTAATGTACTTTCTTATCTTGTGGCAAATGAGGCAGTTGCAAGCTCTAGCAGTTACAGGGATAGCAACTCAATGAACTGCCCCACCCCCAGCCCCCTCAAAAAAAAATCCAGAAGAAAACTCTTACTTTGATGAAAGCCCATATGTACATGAATAAGCCTTTGGGCATCAAAAAGCGTCTTCCAAGACTAGGGAGCCCAAGAGGGAGCAGCAGTTATCACTGTTGGGGGTTCCTCCCCCATGATAAAAAGTGTTCCGGTTTCTGCAGGGAGGAAAAAGATCCTGCCACTCCCCTTACCCCTTGTCACTCATAGGATAGCTCCTCCTTTATAACTTTTGGCTCTGACTATAGAATTCAATATTTGTATTTCAAAATAATGAAGTCAAATAGTTGAGATATACAGTTACTTCAGTAAGATCTTTCAAGGGTCAGTGAAGACTATGTGCTGGCATCTACATACCTGTAAGACTCACTTTTCAAAGCCCTCAGAGCATACTAGTCAAGGCCATTGCATCCTTAAAGAAAATTTGTTCTTAAAGATCAATTCAAACTGAGAAGGACAAGGGCTCTGTCCTTGGCCTGCGCACATCAGACTGAAAAATATGCTTGCTCTGATTCATACAATGCATCCAGCATTGCAACCCAGGAATATTTCCATACAGGAAGACTGATCCCCCAATTGGACTGACAGATTCTTGTTTTTCAGCAGAGTTCTGATTTGCTCTTGCCCTATGGGCCCTGCCACCTAAAGAATAAACTATGAAGCAAAGGGGGATAAAGGAACCTAGTCCTTCTGCTATGGTTTTCTATGTGTTTTTCCCTCAGCATATTACTATTGTAGAGATTACATGATCTGGCAAAATCATTTTAAAAAGTCATATAGAAATGTTTGTAGTGCATTTAGTTAAATGCTGATGTGAATATGGAGTTTTAATCCCAGGTCTGTATTCTGTAGGCTTTGCCTTTAATTAGTTCATTTTAGTACTCTTATATTATCCTTTGTCCTTTATTGAGCTTTTTATTCCCATGAAATAATCATTCAACTGGACACCATCTTCCTATGTACCACAGGGAGAAGGGGCCAGTCATTCTGTGCCATTGTTCACAAATCCAACTCAATCTATTTCATAGCAACAACCAAATGAAAATTTATCAAAAGGATCCCTGAGAGTGCACAATATCATTTTTCCCCTGACAAGCCTTCATGTATGACCCCACTTTTGAAGTTTGTAGAAGCAGTTTCTCAGCTTTTTCTAAAGGTAGAATGTCAGTTACTAGTGATCAGGTGCAACTAAGGTCTTGCCTTTTCTTTTGTTTTGTTGGCGGAGCTGGATATGGAACTCATGCTTGGCAAATTCTACCATTAAGCTGCATCCTCACCCCAGCCTTACCATTTTAAAAGAATTTTTTTTTTAAAAAAAGAGTAAGCCAGAGTGGAAAACTCAGGGCTCCACCCTTCCTGGTGGCAATAGTGACATTCATATTTCTTATTCAATTCATCACAGATGAAGGATCCCTGTTCTGCATCCTGGGCCCCATGGAGAAGGAACAGTGGGGTGATACCTCTGCATCTTACATATATATGCTAAAAACTGATTGGGATGCCAAGGTCAGGAAGGGAAGTTATAGCAGCCTCAGCTCACAGATAAAAACTCATAAAAATTAATTACCTGTCCTGTGGCTATGAAGGGAGAGGAGGCAACAGATACAAGCAATTAACATATAAGCACTCATATTCCATGTCCTCGTTTGACTTTTGCGGCTCAAAAATCCATGACACCAACTCTATGTCTCCCGTTGCAGTGTTGCATCGCAATGCACCAGCTGCTTTGCTTTCTAATTGTGGCTTGCACACAACTGCTAGCCTAGGGTAGGAGTTATGCTGTATGGGATAACCCTTCCAACTTTGCATCCACCTTTTCTTCCACCCAAGCATCTCCTCCTTCTGGTTTTCTTTTATTTATTTATTGTTCCTCCCTTAGTATCAGGCATGCTGTGCCAGGGACTTCAGAAGGCTCCCTAACTTTTAACCTTGTTTTCCCTTGTACTTGACTTCCTCACTCTCTCTGTCATTCTGTCAGCCTGTCTGTCCTCTCGGTTTGTTTTTCCTTTCTACTTCCAACCCCTTCAGTTTGTTTTTGTATAATCTATGCAGCATTCTACTCTTTTACCCACTGACTTCTATTCTCCTTCTCCTCCTGTTAATAATCAGTGCTCTATTAATTTGATTTGACAATGTTCTTGACCTGTTAACTGGAATTTGATTATCATGGGCTCGGCTTGTAGGAAATGTTTTGTTTAATGATAAGGTCCACTGTGTCCTAGAAATTAAAATTCACTTTTTCATCTCAAGAAAACTTCCTGTGAGTTGCCCTCTCTCCAAAGACTAAAAGTTATTGTTGCTGAGACTGAGAATGTACGATGGAAATATTCTTTAAGGGTCCCTTGCTGATGTCCTGATAAGCCAGTTTATCTGTACAATATTCTCCAGTTCTTGACCAGCTTAATAACTATCATGGCAAGTAAAGAGTTACTTACTATGTACTGGCTGAGTTCTCTTTCTGAGTGAACTTGTGAAGATCTTCCAATAAATGTAATTAGACTGTTGAAAGCTCAGCTCCTAAGGGATCAAGGTCCCCATTAAGTCAGCAAATCTTGTTAAGAACCTGACCTACCTTAGTATAATCAAGTTATCCCCCAAAGAAACTAATTTGCAAATAGAAAAATTTCCATGAATTAGAGAATAATTGCACATAGAGTAAAGTAGTACCTTTTTTCAAAGTTCTAAGCATCATACTTCCTTAGTAGAATATCTAATTTGCCAAGTTGGCCAATGTAGGAAGAAATACTCTATTCCAAATGATACATCATTTGTGCTAGTGACTTGTTTCTTTGGACAAATAAACCAGTTATCTAATTTCAACTTATGAAGTGATAAGCATTGTCCTCCAAAGAACAAAGCTTAATTTTGCTCCAGGACTACCTTACCCATCATATTAGATTTTCTTGGATACAGTGACTAATACTTGGATACAGTGCTACTCCATATTATGCTAACTATATTTTTACATTTTACTATTAAATCAAAGGAAACTTACATTAATATACTTGCTAACTACAAGCCAAGTTCATGTTTGCAGATGTCTTTTAATTTAATTTTTTAAGTTAGAAATGACTCTTTGTAAAGACCACTGGATATGAATGATGACATAAATAGCTGGGTTGGAGGTGAGGGTGGAGAAGGGAGGAAGGTGAAAAGGAGAGTATCAGAGCTGCCAATCTTAGCTCCTTTTAATGGTGTTTATTCCTGTTGTCTTTGCAAGAGTTTTTTTTTTTTAATTTTTGCAAAAGATTTTAAAATATCTACCATGTGTTAACCAAATTGCTATGTTATAATTAACGTTTATAATTTTCCAGTTTTATATTATGAAGATATATGTATATATATGTATATGTATATATATGTATATGTATATATATAGCTTGTTATTGGTATAATTTTTAGAGTATATTATTTTATTGTCAATGGACTCAGCTGGCTTTGTTATTGATGCTCAAAGTGTAGCACAGAGCATGTTGTTTCTTAGATTATGTCTGTAAATGCAAGGAATTGTATTTATTTTCTTGTGAACACGGACAATGTCATGCAGCATGCCAGCTGTTCAGTTGTAGTAAATCCTGGCAATTATAAGTGACCTTAATGACATCTGCTCTCACCCCTTTCCAGAAGCGGAGGAGCTCTACCAGAAGAGAGTGCTGACCATAAGCGGCATCTGCATCGCCCTGCTGGTGGTCGGCATCATGTGTGTGGTGGCCTACTGCAAAACCAAGTAAACTTCATCCTCCACACCTTTCTCTCTCCTTAGTGCACAGATGGCTTAGGTGGCCAGGGCTTTGTAGACACCATGCTTCACACCCTAATCATGGGAGAAAGAGGGATGAAGCACTTTCCCCCTTATTTTTCCCTTTAAAAATGCACTTTGAGGACCTTTCCTAATCACACACATTGGAAAGCTTTGTGTTTTCTGTGAAAGCGTTCAGGAAATTTCTAACATGTGACCATGGCCATACAAATGGATGAACATTTGGAAGGACAGGCTTGTATAGAAGCACAAGAATGCATGTATGTAGTTGTGCATGCAAATATGTGCACACAGGGATCATGTACTAAAAGGGAAATATAGGTGCCAGAGATGCACTTGACACATCATTGCTGAGGACAAATCCAGTTTATACAAACTTGGGAGATAAAAGAAATACTCGGTGGTATTTTAAATGTAGTTTTCTAAAAGAGTGAAAAATGTTTCAGTTCTACTTACTTGGGTTGCCAGTGTAAATGCTGTCAAAGGATGAGTGAGGTACATAAAAGGAATCTCGTGAGAGTAAAATAAGCAAAGTTTGCTTAGAAAGAGCTACAGGGAAAGCTTTAAAATAGATTTGTGGCCACTGGTTGACCCTAAAAACTTGGTCCATCTTGACAAATGTATTTATTGTTTGCCCTTCATTTTTCTGTCTTTAAGTCTGAAATAATGTTAAATTAACAGGAATTTAAAAAAAAACGTTTCCTCATAACATGATATACTCTTGCCAAAACTAGTCATGGAGATATTTTCATGATTTGAATATTTCATTGAGGAAAAAAATAATATGCTTTTGTACCACAAAATTAAGGGCATAAATTGTATTTTCTTAATACCCCATGATTTAGCATGCTGCCAGAATTGAGTAGGTGAGAGAGATAAGCCTTCATGGAATTGACCTCATACGACTTATTAGATTCAGTCTTAATATTCACTACCTGCTTACACAAAAAGCATTACAGGGGTAAGACCACATTATAATTGTGCCAAAACCTAGGGACAAAATATGTCCAATCTCACTATATGGGCGCCCCCCAAACACACACACTGTGTATAATGTACAGATTTGAAACTAAGTATATTTTCTGAAGGAATCCACAGGGGGAAAAAACTACAAATAGAATCAGTCATCAATTCTACAGCACGAATTGTTATCTAAGACCAATGACCATCTGTAAGGTTTAGGGGAAGATGGATTGATTAAGAAAGTTGGGATTTTAGCCAAATACCAACATATTTGTTTTCTCCTCCTTCTTTCTTTTTCTTCAGTGAAACAGTTAAGTTTCTGTAAGAATCCCACACAGCTTTTCAAGCCCAATTGCTGAGGATGTATGAGCCTACTTATTCTGAGATGGAATGGCATATAGTCCTGTTCTCCTCCTCACCACCAAGCCACTGCCTTGAATTATTCATAGGTGTTGGTAGAATAAAGATTTGGCTGTACTAAGAAATGTAAATAATAGGAAAAAAAATTATGCTTCCTTTTTTACATCTAGGAAACAGCGGAAAAAGCTTCATGACCGGCTTCGACAGAGTCTTCGTTCTGAAAGGAACAACATGGTGAACATAGCCAATGGGCCTCACCATCCTAATCCACCCCCGGAGAATGTGCAGCTGGTGAATGTATGTTGACTGGCCAGTGAGACAAACTACGCATGTCCCTTTTGTACTGGCATCTTGAAGTTTATTTTCTAAGCTCTTAGGCTCTTAGCTGCTGCCATTAATCACCATGGCTTCCAGGAAACCAAGATTTCACCAGGAGAAAATAATGGGAACATTTTTTTTAAAGTGGATTTGGTTTCTGTAAAACCCACACATTTCCTCTTATAAAGTGTTCATTAAGGAGTTGGAATCATAATGTTGGGTTTGTTCTGCAGGGAGGCTGGAACAGGAGGAAGAAAACAAAAACAATGTAATAAAATTAATAAAACCAGAATCAGAAGGAATTTGTATTTTTTAATAATTTGGAAATGAAGACTCTTCCAGTCTATAACTGATTAGTACAGATAACTGAGCCACGGATTTGGAGTGATATTTAGTAGGGGCACTTTACAGTAATTGATGATTTACTGATTCTGATTCCCAAAGGAAGAAATTAGGGCATGGAAAGGTCAAGTGACTTATCAAACATGCTTCGCAGTAGAAAAATTGGGAGAATGTAATGCTTGCTACTCCCTGGCTTGTTCTATGTGATACCAAGCACTCCAGATGAGATGCCTCCTTAAGCATTCAAATATGAACATTGTTTATACTTTACCAAGAACTTGGCCCTTAAATTAAACTAGATGATAGAATTTTCAGTTCTGGAGACTATATATCATCAGCTTCCAAACCTCTCTGTTTTTATAGACAAGAACAAGCACTGTACTTAGACCTCCTGGCTTTTGAAGTGTTACTCTTTATATTCCAGAAAAATACTTCTTGTTTCATTTTTTTTAATTTCCCTATGTTATATGGCTTTTTAATAGATCAATTCCCAAAGATTGTATTGTAGTAATCATTTTTCTACCCTATTGGAAAAAAAGGTGTATACTTAGTAGAGCAGAAATGTTATAGAACCATGTCTGGAGATAGTGGTTTCTAGATTACCCCACATCTTATAGCAGAGATCTATAGAACATTATTGGGGCAAGGTGCTGATAGGTTAATAAACTTTCTTGCTTACCTCCACCTAATGGTGTTCATCAAAGTGTTCTGCAGGGCTAATAAGTGCATTCTCTACCAACATCACGATAATCTGTTATTATATATGTTATAATATATCAAGAGTCTTACTGCCATGAGTGCCTGAATTCTATTATGGCTCTAAATGGTGTGACCTTAGGCTGTAACCTTTTCTCAATCTTATTTATTATGAAAACAAACCTAAAAATAATAAATGCTTCAAAGACTTCTTGTGAGTAGTAGGATAAAATAACTTACATGGAACAGCCTAGTGGCACTTAGATTCATTAAGTTTATGTCACCCCTCAAGAAGCAAGAGCAGAATGTGCATGGACCAGAGATAAGTCACTCTGTATCTTTTCCTTATATATACCTAACCAGCTATAATTCCCAGGAAGATCCCTATGGAATAGTCTTTCCATGAACAGAACCAGCTGGAGTTTCATGCATAATCCAAGTTGTACATTTTTGGGCTATCACAAAGAGATCAGGTGATTTAGTCTTCATAGCTCATCAGAATATAAAGTGCCCTGTTTATCAACAAATAGTCCATTCCATTTCTTTTCCTGTTATTTAATTCAATTTGTTAGAAATACTAATAGCATTTAAAATACAACTTCAAAACAACTTTTAAAATACATCTTCTCACTGATAGAGGGCAGCAATAGCTACAGTGGTTTGCTGATGAAAATGAAATAAAATGTAGTTGCACTAAATGTAAGGCCCTCTGTATACTAGGTATTCATAGATGTGTCACCTTGACAACTATTGTAAGCCCTTCAAATTTTGTAATACCCTTGTTAATGTTACCATTGACAAGTTAGAAATTTTAATATTAGTAGGGCAGTATTGACACCATGATATTGAAAAAGGAAAGAAGATCCAAAATATTGAAATTAATTTTTTTCAAGTGACTTGAAATTTGAAGTAAGATAAGGTATGCTTTTCTTTTAATCAAAAATATCTGGTAATCTTCTTTGACTTGCAACAATCCTGACAAAAATGAGTATCAGAATTTGTTTTGAATTCTAGTCATGTAATTAACTGGAAATGAGGGAGAAGAAAGGTCTTTTTCTGAGAAAATGAAGTTAGTCGTGATTTTAGGACCTATATTGTGTGTGCATCCAGAGAGTAATTAATTCCATTTTTTCATCCAATCTAAAATCCAAAGTAGCCGAGAGGATTTGCCATACAGCACTGGAGAAATGAAAGTTATTATGAAACTTGTGTACAAAAACAGATTTGTGTGTGTAACAATTTTAGTATTTTGATTTACATGCATCTTCAAGTTGTGTCTCTGTGTCTACCCAGCAATACGTATCTAAAAACGTCATATCTAGCGAGCATATTGTTGAGAGAGAAGCTGAGACATCTTTTTCCACTAGTCATTATACCTCAACGGCTCATCACTCCACAACTGTCACCCAGACTCCTAGCCACAGGTATGAAAATATAAAAATTCCACAGTAGTTCTCTAAGAATGAATTTTTGCACATGAGCTTTTACTATCATTGCATTAAGAAAGGAGACACTTGGGAGGCAGTACAATATACAGACCTTGGACATGAACAGACTTTGGACATTGGTTGACTCTACTCTCAATAGCTGTGTAAATCTGAGCCTCAGGTTTTCCATTATCAAAAAAAAAAAAAAATTGATGGTAGCCAGGCATGGTGGCACATGCGTGTAATCCCAGTGCCCCTGGAAGCTGAGGCAGGAGGATCACCAATTCAAAGCCAACCTCAGCAATTGAGGCCCTAAGCAACTCAGTGAGACCCTGTCTCTAAATAAAATACAGAAAATGGCTGGGGATGTAGCTCAGTGGTTGAGTGCCTCTGAGTTCAATCCCTGGTACCACCAACAACAAAAATGGTGGTGGATAATAACATCTACTTTATAGGGTTGTTCTTCCCCATTCTAGAGATTATCGTCACTCACCTGCTGCTACTCACTGAATTGCTACACAGAGAAAATTCTAGGATTCTATATAATACTTAGAAACTGGATTTTATATAATACTTGGATTGCCTTGGAAAATGTACATGAAGATTGGTGAACCCTAAATTCTCAAATGCCCTGGTGATCTCAAATTGATTGCAGGCTACCAAGAATAACACTGCACTTCCAAATGTAACTGGTACAACATGACATTTCTCTGACCTAAAGGATTCAAGAACACAAGGACTAAGAACATTTAATACATAGTGGCACTTGATTAATATTTATTGAATGAATGAACAAATAAATGAATAAACTATGTTCACAAAGCCCTCTCTATGGCAAGTTTCTTTGTATCAATTCTTTTCTTACACAATTACTGTTGTAGAGAGCTTCTAATGTATCATTAATTGGAAATATCTGTCAGAATAACTTCCTTTCATTTCCATTTCTGCATGTCATAAAACCAAACAAAACTCACTTCCTCTCACATTTCCCTTCTAGCTGGAGCAACGGACACACAGAAAGCATCATGTCGGAAAGCCATTCTGTAATCATGACGTCATCAGTAGAAAACAGTAGGCACAGCAGCCCAACTGGGGGCCCAAGAGGACGTCTTAATGGCATAGGAGGCCCTCGCGAGTGTAACAGCTTCCTCAGGCATGCCAGAGAAACCCCTGACTCCTACCGAGACTCTCCTCATAGCGAAAGGTAAAAGCGAGGGGCAAAGCTACTGCCCAGGAGAACCTCAGTTAAAGAATCCCGTGAGCACCTGCGTCTCACCCAAGGAGAGCTGCCTTATCAGAATAAGGGCGGCAGTTCCCATTTCTAGGAGTGCACCTAGTTGAAGTCATCTTTTTGATGGAACTTATTTCTTCTGAGCTTCTCTCATCGTCCCAGTGCCTGGCAGGCAACAGACTCTTAAAGAGCTGGAATGATTTGATGTGGAAGGTGCAGCAGACTTGGAGTTCCCAGAACTGGCCATAGTCTCAGACCCATTCTGGGTCTAGGTTCCTCAGTCATAACATTAGAGAGATGGCATCAATGTCTGATGAGGACCCTTTAATTCCAATTTGCCAGTTATCCAAACTCTTAAATCGGTGGTCAAGCTGGTCTCATGTTCTCATGTGCTAACTCTGTCTTACTTTCCAGCCTCAGTTAAGTTTGTCTTTGCTGACAGTCATGGGGGAACAGCTGCTTGTGTTCCACTAAATAGTATCCCTTTTATAAAGTTCCAAGAAGGAATGTGTCTGGCGGTCTTCATAGGTGGTTTTCAAAGAAGACGTTGTTGCCTTCTTTATGGCCCTTTATTCCAGAATGTTTGATCCTTGTTCTGGGGAGATTGAGGAGGGCTGGGGGAGTAAAAGCAAAAGTAAAGTAAAGAATGGAAGAAAGTTAACTGAAGGAGTTGTTCAATAGGAATAGTGAATTCATACATGCACTTTATTCATTTTCCCCCAAGCTGGAAGAGAATAATTCCCAATTGGTTTTTAGCCCACGAATAAGCTGCTACCTGTGTGTTTTCCAATCCACAGGGTTTTATTTTATATTATGGTCATCTCATTCTAATCCCTGACCATTTATTTTTTTAAAAAGGCTTACATATTGCCAAATCCATATTTATTTGGTGGTTACATGGGTGGAGATGGTTTTGAAAGATTATTTGTGTTCTGGACTGGGAAGTACAATAAAGATGACCTATTTAGCTTGTAATTCATATAGAACTAACTGATGACTTCTTTACTACCCTTCCTCAAAAATGTCTTTCAGAACTGTATGGAATTTATCCAATTCAAATTCTCCTTGCAAACCATTTGTTTAAAAAAAAAAACAGGTCCTAAACTGGCTGAAAACATTAGTCTTAAATTCATGTAATTATACTTATGTATTAAGGCAATCTGTACATCTTAATTTAGTCTCCTTTGGAACATGAAAAGGAGGTTGGGATGAGCTCTTTCTTCATCACTACCTGTGATGTTGATCTTTGAAGGCTGACATGCATATCCCAGATACCATGGAAGGCTGCAAAATAGACCTGAACTTAAAGACCACAGGGAGATAAAACTGAATTACTTGTACATGTTGGTTGAATATGGATTATTATTTCTCAAGGAGCTTAATTTCAGTACCCTCAAAATACAGTCTGAAGACTTGAGTCCCAAATATTTCAATCTCCAAGACACTTTCCCATTTTAGACACAGCTGGATCTCACATCCATATCACTATGAATCATGGAAAAGCAGGGATGTTAATAGGTTTTCTGTTCCTGTTAGCTGGAGTTCCGAAAGTGGTGTCCTGTGTCATCACAGGTCATGATGAATTAGACTCTGTGACTGTCAAGGTGGAGAAAAGATTCATTTATAGTACTATGCATTGGTAACATTTTTATCAAAAGCTGAGAAATGTGACTCATTCCCCTCAGTGCTGAAAATCAGGTCTTCTTATTCTGGGGGAAGAAAGTATGGTATGGTAAAAACAGTGCACTTGGGGGCCTGGCACTGAGATACACTGCTGTCAGATGTGGCATGATGACAGGTAACATAGCCCAGTCATCCCTTGAAGAGTCACAAAAGATGGCCAGGAAGATTTTCATGTCCTCCTGCTAGGAAGCCAAAGACTGATGCAGTGGAGGGTTGGCAAGAGATGTAGTCTGGAGACCAGACATAGTCTCCATTGTGGTAACTATGAAACCAATGTAAGGTTCTTTCAGGCTTACCTTTGAATGTCATGGACCCTGGGATGGGTAGTTGCAAACTGAATGTTAACTAATAGCATTTCATGGAAAAAAAAAAGTTGAAAGCACACAAATGTATGACACTGTTGTCAGGAATAAATCTAAGTTACTATGCTCTTTTTTTTTCATAAGACATAACCTTATAGCTGAGCTAAGGAGAAACAAGGCACACAGATCCAAATGCATGCAGATCCAGCTATCAGCAACTCATCTTAGATCTTCTTCCATTCCCCATTTGGGCTTCATTCTCTAAGACCCCCTTGGCATTTAGGAAGGTATAGTATTTAAGTAATACTTCTTTCCCTTCCAAATCCCTGAGCCTTGGTCCTTATAAACTGAGTAATTTCTAGGACCTAGTGTTCTCTTTTCTTGGCTCACATGCTTTTGTTTAAACTCATGATGAGACTGAAAATCCCCAAAGTTTTGATGAGCTAGACAATTTAGCCGATCTTTGCATGTACTCCTGTGAGGAACACTCTTGGCTACATAATATTTTTATTCCAAGGGTGCTGAATTTCCTAGTTTAAAAATTGAAAAGTATGCAAATGAATATTGTTCTCTGATGAGATCCTATGGTGAACTCTGCCCCCTTGCCCTCCCTGCTCTGTGCCTCTTATTCCACCACACTTATGTGGGGTATTCTGTGCTCACACAGGTATGTATCAGCCATGACCACTCCGGCTCGTATGTCACCTGTAGATTTCCACACGCCAAGCTCCCCCAAATCGCCCCCTTCGGAAATGTCACCACCCGCATCCAGCATGACGGTGTCCCTGCCCTCCATGGCAGTCAGCCCCTTCATGGAAGAAGAGAGACCTCTGCTTCTTGTGACTCCACCCAGGCTGCGGGAGAAGAAGTATGAACACCACGCTCAGCAATTCAACACCTTTCATCACAACCCTGCGCATGAGAGTAACAGCCTCCCCCCAAGCCCCTTGAGGATAGTGGAGGATGAGGAGTATGAAACGACCCAGGAGTATGAGCCAGCTCAAGAGCCTGTTAAGAAACTCGCCAATAGCCGGCGGGCCAAAAGAACCAAGCCCAATGGCCACATTGCCAACAGGTTGGAAATGGACAGCAACACAAGCTCTGAGAACAGTAACTCAGAGAGTGAAACAGAAGATGAAAGAGTAGGTGAAGATACACCTTTCCTGGGCATACAGAACCCCCTGGCAGCCAGTCTTGAGGCAGCACCTGCCTTCCGCCTGGCTGACAGTAGGACTAACCCAGCAGGCCGCTTCTCGACGCAGGAAGAATTACAGGCCAGGCTGTCTAGTGTAATTGCTAACCAAGACCCTATTGCTGTATAAAACCTAAATATACACATAGATTCACCTGTAAAACTTTATTTTATATAATAAAGTATTCCACCTTAAATTAAACAATTTATTTTATTTTAGCAGTTCTGCAAATAGAAAACAGGAAAAAAAACTTTTATAAATTAAATATATGTATGTAAAAATGTGTTATGTGCCATATGTAGCAATTTTTTACAGTATTTCAAAATGAGAAAGATATCAATGGTGCCTTTATGTTATGTTATGTCGAGAGCAAGTTTTGTACAGTTACAGTGATTGCTTTTCCACAGTATTTCAGCAAAACCCTCCCACATATTCAGTTTTTGCTGGCTTCTTGTGCATTGCATTATGATGTTGACTGGATGTATGATTTTCAAGACTTGCAACTGTCCCTCTGTTTGCTTGTAGTAGCACCCAAACAGTATGTCTTGTAATGGCACATCCATTCAAATACTCTTCTCTTTTGTATGAAGTTTTCTTTGCTTTCAGAATATGAAATGAGTTCTGTCTACTCTGTCAGCCAAAGGTTTGCTTCATTGGGCTCTGAGATAATAGTAGATCCAACAGCATGCTACTATTAAATACAGCAGGAAACTGCATTAAGTAATGTTAAATATTAGGAAGAAAGTAATACTGTGATTTTTTAAAAAAACTATATTATTATTCAGAAGACAGCTTGCTCTTGCTAAAAGGAGCTGCCATTTCCTTTATTTTAACTTATTTTTCTGGACAAAAAGCAAGAGTTTTAGGCATAGCTTAGAAAATGGGTTCTGGCTTGCTATCAGGATAAATATAACACCTTAGAAGAGGACTTTGTTTTACTTTCTCTCTGGGGGAATGTTCCAGCGCTCATCTATTTGAGCAACAAATCACAACCAATAAAGGTGCAATCATTTCTGACTTGTATTTTTTCACTGATTTGGGAGCTACTGCATGGCTGTGTCATGGTACAAAAAGCCCAGCCCAAACAGCATACTCAGCAGTGTGTCTGACATGCTTCTAGAGTGAAACGTGCCTCTGTAAAATGCAGGCTTGTCATCATAGGAAAAAATGTTTCCATCATAGTGTTTGGAAGGAATTAATGTATAGAAGACCCAAGTGGAGCAGCCATGTGACTTGGTTGACATTTTAAATTTGGTTGACCACTTCTTTCTCCCATTCTGTTTCTCTTGTTTTTCAATGCCGCCTTGATTAGATCATAACTATGCATGAACATATTTTTTTTTTGGTCAGGAATGGCCAATGTGCATGTTTTGTGATTAGTAAGACTCTTCCACAAATGCTGACTCATCAGGAAGTGTCATTAGTGTTGAAAAGATTGCACCTTTATTTGAAGAAGTGATCCCCCACTGTGTACTGACCTCTCTATTTACATTCTGTGCCACCCGTTTCCCCCTCTTAATTTTTGCTTTGCTGTCACAAAAGCAGGACTAAGGTTGTTCTAAACCTTGCATGTTCTCTCGTGATTGTAAATCCAATGAAAGCCTATAGGTATTAACATTTGAAATAACTGTTAATTCAGGAAATAAGAAAAAAAAATTTTTTTAAATGCGGAACCCACTGTATGCCCTGCCTGGTATCTGTCAAATCAGGGCTGGAGTTTTACTTAGGTTCCAAGTGGCCTCCTAGGAGTCATGGGAAAAAATGGGAAATAGTTTACCAGGGGGTTCACAAAGTCCATGACAGTACTCAACTTCTTCTTTGCAGATGTACTGAATCTTCTTCTTTATGTATGTTACAAATAAAGGGAAGAAATGACATGCAAGTAGGTCTTAGAAGAAAAATGTAGGCTAGGCATGAGTCAGTGTCCTTAGACTCCTATGTGTTTCTACAATCCACAGAGGTGCTTGTCTGCAGGTCCTTGAAGTTAGTCTTAGTATTTGGTATTCAAATTTTCCTGCCATTGTTCACATGCCACTTTCTCTGTGCTCAACATTGTGCCCATTTGCTTTTTAACCTACATGGGAGAGCCCCTGTTAGGTCATACTCATTTCCCAGTTTTCTCAAATGAGTTAGATCATGGCACGGCACGGTGATAAAGTCAGTTTCAAGAGGTTGTCTAAACTCTTTTAACATTGCCTTTGAAGGCTTTGACTCACTTCTCAACACTTCAATAAAGAAATTCCTACTGTTATTTAGAAACCTTACATATTCTGTTTCCAATTTTTTGGGCATTAGGGAGTTCAGATGTCCCATTGTGAAAAATTTCAAGAACAAATAGAATCTTCCGATGAGAACAATGAATAACACATTTCTTCAGTTTGAGAATTTCTACAAATTTTGAAACTGTAAATATACATGAAATTTTATTTCCAATCTGATTTTGTTACTTATAGAGATGGCTCATGTGAGGTGAGGCCACCTTTGCTCCAGGGAAGAAGAGTATTCCATAATAAGAGAGGCCAGTTGACCGCTCAGGGCTACCTGCTACAGCCACCCAATTTATGTTCACAGGAACATTTCTGATACTTCAGTGCCACATCACTCTCAACCATCCCTATTTATAAATTTAGGCAGTTCAGTGGCAGTCCAGAGGAGTGTAAACCTATATTCCCAGAATGTGGAAAGCTGTCTTGGGTTTAAAGTAGTGGAAATGGCCCAGAAGTTTGACATTAACTTTCTTTCCTGGGTCTGGAATCATATCCCACCAAGGGGTATGCAGAGGAATATAGTATATACAAAACTCCTTTTTTTTTTTCACTCAAGATTCATTTTCTGTACTGTTTTCTCTTCTTTCCCCTCCCTTCCTCCCCCCTTCCTCTCTCACTCCCCCTCCCTCTCCCGCTCCCTCACCTCTCCCCTGCTCTTTTTTTTCTCCCAAAGAATACCTGGTAGACAGCCTTCTGCTTTCTACAAAATGGTACTCTATGTGGGTGACTGTGTCCCAAACAGCAATATGCCATCTCTTCCTTTTTTCAGTGTGACTATCTTGATGGAGGTGGAATTGATCCTGGGTAATTTGCTTAGTAGCAATTTCTTTCTTTCTTTCCTTTTTTTTTCTTTTTCTTTTCTTTCTTTTTTTTTTTTTTTTTTTTTTGGTCTGAGGTTGAAAGGTATATGGCTCACATTGGTGAAAATTAGGAAGGCATGGTCTTATCTTTTAGTACTGGCTGCATTCCAAAAGCCACAGAGTTTTCTATCCACAAAGATCCATGAAACATTGCAGAGAATTGCAGACAAAAAGGAAATGGTCACATATCACAATTTCTATTATATGTTCACATGTAAATACATATGTACATTACTTGGATGTTTTATTAAATCATTTATTGTCTTTATGAGTTAATGTCAGTTTTTACTCTCTCAACTTACTGTGTAACATTGTAAATAACATAATGTCCTTTATTATTTATATTTAAGCATCTAACATAGAGAATTGTTTTCATATAAGTCTAAGATAAATGTCAATATATATGTTTTTTTCTTGTTTTTCTTTGCTTTAAAATTATGTACTTTTTCCTTTTTTAAAAAAGAATAATTTATTGTTCAGGAGAAAGAATGTATATGTAATTGAAAATATTTGAAGAATGCACATTTGAAGGCCGTGAGGTACTGATAAACTAAAGAATTTATTATCCAAAATACTAAGCAATAAGTAATTGTGATTTATTTAAAGTTTTGTTCATTTCCCAAGAAAGTCATACTGCAATAAAAATATGCTACTCTGTGGAGATTTGGCCGTGTTGCTCAGCAGACTAATGTTTCAGTCTGTTAGACCAGCACCTTTTGTCTTACTTCGACAATTGTACTAACTTAGGAATGAATGTATTCCATAGACCCCATTATCATCTTGTCTGTCTGTTGCTTTTACCGCACTGCCTGTCCTGGAATCATCTGTCTCCTGACTCTGTTTACCACTTTCTTCCTTGCTGAAGGGGCCACACAACTGAGCAATATGACATTTCTTTCTCTTCCCACATCTACCCCACTACCACCACCATATACAATAACATCAGAGAGAAACATTTTAGGGCATGACGGCCTATATTTCAGTTGCTAAGATGTTCTGTCATGACAGCCAGAAACTTCTTCAGATTGATGTGAAAATGACAACATGCCAATTCCATCCAATCATAAAATGCAAAAAAAAAAAAAGATGCTAACCTGATTTAATGATTCAAATAGTGCAGTGGACTAAAACACAGTCATGCTAAGTTAACCTTCAATATAGTTTTAGTAAATTTACTTTCCATCAGGTCCACGATTGATCAATTCACAGTTTTTAAAAAGCGATAAGGAATGAGTTTATGCCCCTCATTCAGCCAATGAAATAGGTCCAACTGACACTCATCTTACTGCTCAGGGAGAGGTCTATGCATGAAATATATCTCCCATTCTAATAAGACTCATCATTGAAAAGAATACATTACTTATTGAAATAATCTAAACAAAAGCCATATTTTAACAAATAGATATTTATGTGGTACTTTTTATATATTTCAAGAATTTTACTCATCTCAGATTTGAGAGCTTTAGAAGGATACAGAGTAGAGGTCAGCAATACTCTGGGGTATTTCAAGGTCTCCTTTAGATGTTGAACATAACCTGAAACTTCCCATGTATGTCTGCCTCCATATATGCACAAAGTTCCTCTTATCTAGTAATAGCTCCATTTGGTATTATTTCCAAATAGTCTGGATACTTAGGAGATTTAAATTGTAGATTTTAACTATGCTGTTCTGAAGTCACAAATTAATTCACTTGTCCACCAGTCATTTGGCCAATCAACCATGCAACAGATGAAAGAATGCACAGAATATTTAAAAATTAATAATTGAGACACTCTCCTCAGTTAATTCTGAGGCTTTGTCCAACCCGCCAAATTGAAAACCACAAGCAGCTACGTTAGCAATTTATTTTAAAAATTGCTCAGCAAAGCTATTATGATATTTGAGGCAGAAGTATGTATGAAGGAGGGTTGTATGGAAAGAATGAAGATTCACATCTTGTCAAATTAAATAACTGGTTAATTATTGCAATTGTCCACTCATAATTGACTATTGAATGTCAAACGCAGACCAACTCTGTAAACTGAAAAGTTATCTGTCTTTCCAACAAATCATTATATTTCTTTGGTCTCTGTCCTGATAATAAATGGCCAAAGGATTTGATGTCAGGAATTTGGGGTTAAGTATATCAGGTCTGAATTCCAGAGACTTAAGATGCTGAAAAGAGTGGAAATTTTTGATGATTTAGAATCACTTTGCACTCTATCTCCAGCTTGTCTACTCTGAAACCAAAGTAATAAACTAAATTTATGGAACATATTACATTAAAAGATTAACTTAGGGGCTGGTATTGTGGCTCAATGGTAGAACGCTTGCCTAGCACATGCGAGACCCTGGGTTCGATCCTCAGCACCACATAAAAATAAATAAATAAAATAAAGGTATTGTGTCCAACTACAACTAAAAAATAAATATTTATAAAAACAGATTAATGTAGGAAATAGAAATGCTTTCAGCTTATGATAGATAAAACCTTTCTATTACAGGAAATTGCAAGATTTCCAATCTTTAAGGTTGTTGTTGCATAGGGTAGTCACATACTCCCTGAATATATTAGGGCTCCTGTTGACATTCTGGTACCACAATTGCTGGATCTTACCAGTTAGATATTGGTTTTGAAATAATTTTAATTAAGTTTAAATACATCATCCACCATAGAAAAGGGATTTTGTAACCCATCATGATCTTCCCTATCCTTTTTAAACTGAGCAGGGGAAGGAGACCAGTAATTCTTAAAGAGGAGATGGAGAATGAGTAATAGTTCTACCTAGCATCTTTTTCTAGCACTTATCTTTCAAATGGACTTATTAATAGAGGAGAAGACATCTCTTCCCACTACACAACATGCCAAAAAGACTAAAGAATTACCTCTACAGATTTAAACATCTTTTTAATGGCTTATGCTAGATTAGTTCATATACAAGAAATGAACTATTAAATATAAATAATGTTTTATGATATTTTAAGGCTAAAAACATTCTTCATTTCTTTTTTACTCTCTTTATGTCATGATAAAATAAATGAAGAAAATTTAAGCTCAGCGAGATTAAAAAATATTTCTTGGAGCTACATATCTACTGAATCACAAAGATAGTTTTGGGGTCAAATTTTCAGACAATAATTTAAGGTTCTATTAAGCTCCTCCCCTATCCTAAGCATGAATAGATCTTTCTTTTTCAGCTTTCTTTCATAAACAGTATAAGTTGCATCTAAAACCATGTTTCTTTGGGGAAGAACATTAGCCCTTCAAGCTTCGGTTTAGAGATATTCTGGAACCCAATTTGCTTATTTTAGTGACTTCATGAATCTCCCCCCTTAACTCAGTTTTCTAAGGAAATGAATTATAGCCATGAGGATAGGTTCATAATTTCAATATGTAGTTTGCATCCTCTAATGAAAAGAGAAGGGGCCTAGTGGTCAGATTTCTGTCCTTACCCCTTAGCAAATTTGTGAATTTGGGCAATTTTCTCCTTCAATTTATTTCCTGGTCTCTGACTAAAAGGCTGTGGTACACAGCGGATGAACTGTGAGAACATGTAAAGAAACTAGAAAATGTCTAACACAGAGTAAATATTCAACAGCCTTCCATTTACTCCTTCTCCTTCAAGCTGTTAAGCTTTGTCATTTAAGCCTCTCAGTTCCAAGTGAAATGCACTGCATTGGACAAACTGATCAAATAAACATATCATCTCTCCAATCTAGTGCCAGTAAAATAACACTCTTAATTACAACAGTATGTTGAGAAACATAATCACCAAATAGCATTTAAAGTGGTAGCTTAAATAAGTTTTTTGTGGTTTTTTTTTTATAATGCATGACAAGCACAGTTTGCGTCTAATGTAGTCACACCATTTCATGTTGTGCTATTTCTTTCATTAAGGTTTTATTATAATTGCAGAAATTTACTAAAACATGACTGTTTGTAGGGTTTTCAGAATACTACCTTCAAACTTCATTGAAAGTATCTTAAAGCAGTAAAAACTGTTTCCAACTCAATAGTAAATCTGCACATACCCATTTGCCTTAGTTTTCACCCACAAGGTTCAGACATATTTCATTTTCTTAAAAACTAAAATCCTAGCAAAAGTCATCAGAGTGACAAAATTAGGGGAGTTAGGCCTCAGATTAACACCTAAGTATTTGAAAACACATAGCTTATGGGATTCTTGTCACCCACTTTCATCATCTCTGGAATAATTCTTTAAGTTCTCCTTATTCTTAACCCATACATAAAACAAGATTCTTTTCTCATATCCCAATTATCATGCAACCAATACTTTATAGATTTAAGCTGTCTAGATTCATTCCTTTAAAACTTCATCCTGCAGCAAGAGTGGTGGATGATTTAGTTTTGTGATAGCAATCCTTAGGTTTGTAGTATAGGCATTGTTAATAGCAAAAGAATCTAATATAATTTTCTATCTGCTATCTTTCCTTTAAATAAAAAATGTATTTTTTATTGAAAACAACTCTAGTTTACTCTGAAAATAATGCAAAAATGTTTTCTTATTTTTTACAGAAATAATCTTCTAGATGTAAACTTTGTATCTTTCTAATTATCATCATGAGTTAACACCTGTCTTTTCTTCCCTCTCGTAAGGTGACTCTCTTCATTGTCTGACCTTGAGCCCTTCTTGGGGATAGTATGAGAACTTCAGGCTAGGGAGGTTATCTAGAATCTTTCCAGGTCTGCATCATGAAAACTAAAGTGAACTTCTATCTTCATCAGAGAAAGGGGACTCATTGGTATACACTTTTCAGCTAATAAGGTACCAAAATCATTTCCACTTGGATCCTTGGCTCTCACCATCAGGAAGAATAAGAAAGAGGGAGAATGCTACACATGAGAGCCACTTGTGGTGGATAAATTAGGTAGTTCCCCAATTCCCTATAACAACATCCTTTCTATTATAGATGATTCTGCCCTCATAGGCCCCACTCCATTCTTTAGAGCTTCTATCTTCCAGTTCTTCCTTTCAAAGATTTCAAAATCCTAATTGCCCTGAAGCTCATTCCTCTTTGTATACATGATCAGAATTTTCAAAGTATACCCCATAAAGATGTACAAATATTTTGTGTTAATTTTAAAAGAGATCTGATGTCATAAACTATACAATTCCATATTTAACAAAAATTTAGTTAGAAATGATTGGGCTTAAAGAGGATGGAACGTAATTTTATTAATCTCTGAAGATTTCCTTGATTTATTTAGTTGTAAAACCTTGAGAAAGTTTTAGGGCAGAATCACACAACATCACATTTTTTTCCATGATTTGCTTGACCAAAAATTTCTCTTTCACAACATGAAAATGATCTTAGGTCCGCCCTACATTTTGGATGTTTTGTCTCTTTGTCTGAGGAGTTAGATTTCTAGCCAGGAATATGAAGGAGAGACTTTGGGTTTTTCTATTAAGGTGAATATGAATGAGATGTAGAGTTCTACTCAGGGTCAAAATCATGTCAATTATCAAGCAAAGGAGCAACTATGGGCATACATCCCCTCCCCCGATTAGTTGAGCTACCTGCCACCCATTGACCAACTCAGACCTGAGCAAGATTCTAAATTTCTTCCTCCATATCTCATTGGTGGCAGAGGTGTTTATACCACTGATGTGACAAACAAATCCTTCCCTCTTCCATAGCCTCACTGCTTCCACATTTGT